CCCAATCTGCAGTTCTCGTGGGGAGGTATGGCCCGAGTTGGTGGTCCTATTCCACTGGCGATTGACGAAATGGCTGTTGCCTGAAGTGAGCTACTTCACTGCTAGTACTTCAAAACAAAGTGAAAAACAAGGACTCCAATTGAATGTATTGGTGGAGAGCGACACTGTCAGAGTCCTGCTGCAGGCTGCTGGCAAGCGGGATCACGCTGTCAGTTTCAGCATCCATCTAGGACACTATGCAGTGCGTAGCAAGTAATATTCTTTACTCTGTCAGGCTCTGTCAGAGAAGGACACTGTCAGAGCCTGACGTCTTCAGCCCCAGTCTGGGGCGCCAGCTGATCCGTGTCAATGACTGATCCTCCCTATTACACCGTCAATTGACTTGGCAGACTCCTCTCTCAGCTCCAGGGGCCTTGTCCCTACTGCTCCGTTGAGCCAGGTCCGTGCGGGGTTTTCAAACCGGAGGGACGTCGCGCCACGCTGGAGATGCAATCTGTTCTCAATCTCACGGTTGATTTTAGTTTTCTTGCTATTCCCTCTGAACAGGCCTATTTCCATTTCATAATATCAGGAAAAAAATGAATTTCTCGATTATAACGCCCCCTATCCTTCCCCGTCTGCGTTGAGCTAGCTGAGACGAAAGAAACCGTTCCTTTCTTCCGTTATATACTGGATGGCGGCTACGCCTAGAGGTACCCATTTCACACACTTAGCTGTGTTGGATCAGGTCGTCCACTGTATGGAGCTGCGATACTGTCCACATTCATGTGCATCGGTGGCCTGGGTGATATCACATCTGCATGCCCCAGCTGATGCAAGTGGGTGCCTTGCTGTGCAAACGACTTCGAGGAGGGGAAAGCTCAACCTTTGGGGGACAGTGGTGCCCACATAACGCGGAATGTGTATGTCAGAGTTCATGAACTTTCCTCTGCGCGCCCGCGCATGAAAAATTGAAAAGAAATCAGAAGAAATGCACAAATCCCCAATAAAACATACATTATCCCGTTTCTTTCGAATTAGAAAATGTGTTTTTCCGTGTCACACCCTTGAGCTGGCTCAACTCAACGGTGCTGGTGGGACAAAGCCCCAGGATTGACTCAGCAGAGTCTTCTCTTGAAACAGGGCAGACCAAAAAWAAAACACGGCAAAAAAAAAAAAAAAAAAAACCGTAAAAACTGAAAAAAAAAATGGTCTTTAATGCACATTTCAGGATTGAGGGTGTTAACTGAGGCTGAAAAGTGGGGGGCCCTGTTAACGGCTAATGGGCGGCGGGCGCTCAAGGGTTCCTATCACAATGGCTCCAACCCATGGGCCTGTACTTTATGTCTGATCAAACTGGCATAGTCACTAGTACGGAAGGAGGACTCCATTTCTTAGTAGTACATGATGATCTCCACTTTGGTGGCTGCAATTTTTTTTCTTTTTCTTTTTTTAATCACCACTACGTCGTCACAGAGTGAACCGGAAGTGCGCCGGTTATTTCAGTGGGAAGTAATGGCAGGCACGGTTTTGTCGGTGGGAAGTAAGGGGCCGCCTGTGTGACTCGGAGCTCGATAAGACCAGTAAACGAAGTATTTCATTTCATTTCTGAGGTAAGAGGCTGGGATCCTCACAATTCTACCACTGGCAGGTAGTTCAAGTTTGAAGATCACTGGGGAACCGGCATAATGATTTCGTCAAAGCTGGGCATTTCTTTTTGGTTCAACGGAAGTGTTTGACAGTGGTAAAAAATGGTAGACTTTTGGTGGGGTTAATTTCAAAAATATTGCTCCTTCCAAGTTTGGCAGCAAAAATGTCGTCCGTTTGTTCGAAGTTTCCTTTGCAAAAATAGAGGTTTCGTTGCAGTTCCCTTAGTTTGCCAGCAAAAATACTGTGTTTTGCCCAGTTTCACAGCGAAGGCCCCCTAGGCCTCTGATGGTTTATTAATCCATACATGAAGGAGTCAGATATGACCAAGATGACATCAATTGACAATGCAACAGACAGACATAATCTGAGAATAGGAAAACATAGCAGGAGAAAGAAGAGAGAAGAGAGAATCAGCACACCAATAGTCAAGCATAGACACATGGATTCTCCCTAAATGCGACCAAGGCTTCAATAGATAAAACAATGATGACAAAGCCAATAGGCTCGAACCGAAAGCGGGCGTCATGCCCGTAAGCATGAGGAAAGGTCGGGCGCTGGCGAAGACCCTACTATAGTTTCATCCGGTAGCCAGACCTGGAATACCGCTGGAGTTTGGTTTGTAAGAACCTAACCCCTACGGTCCCTACCTTTGTTTTATAATCAACTAGTCTAAGACAGGTACTCGAGGTTACTACTCATGTACCCGTCTCTTTCCCCTTCTACCCGTCCAAAAGTGGTTCCACTATGAAGCACTCCCTTCCTCTTCCAGGTGTAGACTCGTAGTTCCAGAAGAGGTTATTTCTCGTGTACTCGTCTCTTTCCCCTTCTACCTGTCCAAAAGTGGTTCCACTATGAAGCACTCCCTTAAAGTTTCCCATCCTGGTGTAGACTCGTAGTTCCGGAAGCCCCACTGTCGACAACACCGTCTTCTGTTGCACATATCTGGGCTGGCATGGCTCCTGTTGGGCCAGCCGTCCGCCTTAGTACCGTTTTTCTTGGCTCCGTAGAAGTGTCAAAACAGCCGGAAGCCGGCGGAACGTTTTTTTTTTTTTTTTTTTTTTTTTGAGAAGCTGAAGGGTTAATTACTCCGGGAAATTGGGGGTGGAATTCCCCATAAAAACAACCTGGACACTGGACGGAGACAACAGAGTACTGATGCCATTATTCAGTTTCGGCTCCAAGACCTGGAAAACGGGTCCAATGTCCCTGAGCTCTTGTAGGCTGTAGCACCCCAAAGAAAAAAAGAAGAGATTGTGACCTTCCACGTTCCTGCTACACTCTTGCTTCTAGAGAAGCTATAGTACAAGCTAAGGTGGGGGCGAAGCTAAAACGCTCCCCATGTCCCGTAGTGGCAAAAAGCCATGGGCAGAGAGTGGTTTTGCGGCTTTTGCCCGTGTGGTCTATTTTTGCCAGCACCACATCTGCATCAACCAATTTCTTGTACTATCTTTCCTCCCTTTTGCAGAACGACCGTGACGTGTCCAGTCGACGATTACTGTTTGTCTCAGTTGGTATTTGATTTTGCTTTGAAGGGCCGCAGTTTTGCAGCTTCTTGCTTTGACAATCTTATCGTTGCAGTCGTCCCATATCACTTTCATGACGGTTTCCCTGGCCGCTTTGGCTACATACAGCCAGTCTGTGTCCCTCTCCCTCTCTGCATTGTGTATTCCCATTAGTCTCCACTCGTCTGAGTCATATGTTCATTCAAAATCCCCCCCACAGAGTTTGTTCCAATGCTTCCTCCACCAACCCCAATTTCCCCAAAGCCTGTCTGACGTTGGCCATGTAATGTAATCCACAGTGTCTGTTAGTCTCCCACATCCATCCACACCTTGCACATGCTTGTCATTCGTTGTGAAAATTTAATATTCGTCCCTCTCTTACATATAGTGTTACCTTTGAGGCCATCTTGCTTTGGAGACGGATGATTTCGATCTTTGCTAACAGAGTCTGCAACCAGAGCATGCCGGCCAACTTCTCAGATGGATGATTTTTCATCTGTCTCCATAAATTCCATAATGAGTATAAACGACTATAGTTTGCCTTCAGAGATCGAAAGTAGGTTCTGATCTTCCCTTCTCCTTAGGACTGTTGGGAAGCGCCGCGGCCGATAGCAGGGCCATAGGGACCAGGGAAGACCCTTGTTCGGCCCAGATGGTCGCTGAGTACTTGGGTTGGCCTTTGTCTGCCGCTGCGCGGTACCTCAGGCTGTGGAGGTAGCTGGACTACGACTCGGACTCAGACCTGGGAGTTACAGAGGTCCAGAGGGTCGATGTTTGGTGTGGTAGGTAGATTGTTTTGTGTGGTTTGTTGTCATGTTCTGTGGGACCAGGGAGGACCCTGTGTGGCCCAGATGGTCGCGGATTGCTTATTTTTTTCGTTCTTCGTTTGCTTTCTCGACCGAGCTATGACTCGAACTTGGGCCGGGGGAGTGAAAGAGGCACTGTGTCGTTGTTTTGCTCGGTTCGTCGGAATTGTCTCTGTTTTGTTGATTTCCTCCATACCTTCAGAGGACTCGGATTCAACCGGTACGACTAATCGGAYGCAGATCTCGAACCGGGTACCTTTGAAGGGGRTGTATGGATSAGTAGGTAATTACCTAGGTAGCAGTCTATTCGCTGACGTACTTGGTCCGAGTATAGGATAGTGGGGACTTACGTAGAGACTACCGGTGTTGATGTAAATGATGATGTCAAGTCGTGGTACTAGTTGGGATAGAAAATGGATAGTTGCATAAAAGTAGAATTTGCGTTTTTTTCGGTCCTTTCGTCCTTTTTGGACATCTCCGCGACTATGGACCGTGGGGCGTGCTGCTAGTTGCTTTGCGAGTGGGAGACCTCTGTGGGGACTGTTAGTCGCCGACGTCACTTAGCTTCACTCTGTGTTGACCACCGGGTTTCCCTAGGAGTTGACGACTTCGTGTTTTAATGTGATGAACAACTTTTGACTTGTCTCCGTCGTGTGATTGGTCAGTTTGACTTGTCTCCGTCGTGTGATTGGTCAGTGTGTTGTGTGCTGCCAAGTGCATTCGTGTGCTATGTGCTGCCAAATGTATTCATTGTACTTCCATCAACTAGCTCTGCAACCAGCTAGGCGATGTACCTAGAAGAGGTGGCGGTGTGTTACTGAAGCGAACAGTGGACGTGAGAAGGGAAGGTGAAGACCGTCGGGAGCAGAAGGTGCGGTTGACGACGATAGGAAAGGAACGTGACAGAAAGAGGAGATCTGGGAGATAAGGATAAGTGATGGATCTGGGGAACGGAGGTCCGATGAGGGGACATCAAAACCCCCTGCAGACAGTCGAAAATGTTTTAAGTGTGGAGAAGCGGGGCATTATGCGAGGGATTGTGCTGAGTATTGGCAATCTCGGGCTTTGGGCCGAGTGTTCGTACCTGCGCCGTATGTACCGGGAGGAGGACGCATGAGTAGAACGACTACTCAAGATAGCAGCATGCGGAGGAGCCGTTCTGTGGAAAGCAGTGGTGAACGGGAAAGGGCTGATACCGAGGATACGAATACGCTGATGAAAGAGTATTTCCTGCAGCTGGCGGAGGAGAGGAGGGAAAGGATGGAACAAGAAGCGCAAGAGGAACGGAGGAGGAATGAGGAGGCGGTTCGCTTGGAAAAAGAGAAGAAGAGGTTGGAAAAATTGCGAGAGAAGCAACAGTACGAAGAAGATAGGGACGCCCGATTGTTGAGCCTGATAGACGCCAAGATACGGAGTGATCAGGAAGAGCGACGGAATCATGGAGAGATGGTGGGGAAGCAAGGGAAGAAGGTGAACGAACTAGGAGAGACTATTGAGGAAGAGAAAGAACGGCTGAGAAGGACTTTAGCTCTGCACGAGAGCTTTGAGGCAGACGAGGAACTGCTGTTGCTACGAAAGCAAGCAGCGGGCCTGCGAATCCAAGATAAGCTGGAGAAACGGAAGCGGGGGAAGGAGGTAGCAATTGGGAATAGTCCTCCGATGATAACTCCGGAGAAGAGGTCAAACACGACCATGTCCGATGAGTCGAGAAGAAGAATTGAGGAGCTACGGAGTGCTCCGTCTGGGGAACCGCAGACTTCAGGGACGCCACGGAAAATCGATTTGACACTAAAGCACATATCGGCCTCCTGCGGACCTGGTGGGAAGGAGCGGTATGAAGCGGAGGTCCGGAACTTCTACGATGCGCTGACGGTTGAGGAACTAAAAGAAGTTTGTAAACGTGAGAAGGTGATCTATGGCAAGCGTGAGATGGCGATCAAGAGACTGGTGATACGGAGGGTAGCCACGGCGTATGATGCGGCCTACATACCCCTACCAGCTACACCAAAGATGACGACCCGGAGCGCTAAGGCGGCGCCCGAGAACGTGAAAACGGAAGACACGTCGGATGAATCGAGTGAGACCGAGGAGGAAGAGGGGTGAAGTCGTATGAGTGGGGTAGGACTGCGTGAACTAGCAAGGAGGGTATGTGCTTGAAGACAACTGGATGGAGGAAAGAACAAGTCGGATGACAGGCTGCTGAGACTCATTACAATTAAGCTAGCGCTAGTTGGGGGTTTGCGGTGCGGGGAAAAGTTTGCTAAGTACTGGAGGGAAGAGCTTTTGAAGGGACGCTTGGAGTTAAACGATCCTGGCAGTTGTGTGTACGTGCTGATTTCACCATGGTTCAAGCAGGTGTATATTGGCATGACCGAGAGGCATTTGTGGGCGAGATGGCGGGAGCATTCCTGTCAGGGGAAAGGCGGGGGTGACAAACGGCGACGAACGCTGTATAACTGGCTCGGGAAAGTGGGCGCACAGAAGCTATGTATCCCCGGCGGCCGCAGTCACCGCGGGCATGACCGCGGCCCATGCGGTCAACCGCGGGCCCGCGGTCATGACTGCGGCGGCCGCGGGCAAAAAATGTGCGCCTCGGGTAAGGGAGGGGGGCTACCCGAGGTCGGGGTCGGGATTCCGGGAGCGCGCCCCAGGCCCCAGGCCCCTACATTGAAAAAAACGAAAAAGACTTAAAAATGGGGGGGTCCATTTTAGGGGGGGGGGGG